TTATTATCACTTCACAACACTAACACTAAGTATACAGTTTATATTCACGAGTAAACAATCTATTTACAAGAATATTTTGTACAAAAACATAAACCGCTGTTAATTATTTCTCCTTACGTATCGCACTCCCCAAGCGCGCGACTACTGACTACCCTCCAGTAATTTATCGAAACAGTGTACACCCTAGGCAAAAGGTTTATTTATTTTATACAAGAACAAAAATTTATTTTGAATGAAGTTAATTTATATTATGATTGTTAACCATACTAATTGGATATAAATAGGTTTTTAGCAATAACAAGAACTTAACAAATATTTTTAGGATAAAAATGAAAATGAAAATTTTAGTGTTTAGACACACTACAATACTCCCCCACCGAGACCTTTTTAAGGTCGATAGTAATTAGGGAAACGAACTATTCTACCGCTCCTAGTTTTTCTTGGAGCATCAGCTGTGTCAGGAGAAGGTGTGGTGGTGTCAGGTGGAGGTGTGGTAGTGTCCGTGAGGGTGATGGTATCGTCATTCCTGGTCATGTGTGCTGGTTTGATTCGGTCGATCGTCACAGTCATCTCCTTTCCTTGGACTTCTAATTTAAAGGTTTTAGGACCTTTTTCGAGAACTTTGTAGGGCCCGCAGTATGGCGATTCAAGCGACCCTCGTATAGGACCCAAACGTAAGAACACATAATCAGAGGTAAATATGTCCTTGGGTAAGTAGAAAGTTCTGCTCTTATTGTGAGTACCCGTCATACCCGTTCTCCTCTTGCCACATTCCCTGTCCCTTCCCAACGATTCTCCCACGTTCACCTGGATTTAATCGGTCCTTTACCAATATCACGTGGTTACAGGTACTGTCTCACGGCAATCGACCGTTTTACTCGCTGGCCTGAGGTATACCCAATCACGGACATTACTGCAGACACCTGCGCTCGCGCCTTCGTGTCGGGCTGGCTGGCCCGCTTTGGCTGCCCCCTCAACATAATCAGAAGGTTGCGTGTTCATATCACGTCGGGGTCACCAATGAAGTGAATTATACAGGACCGTACCTTCTAGTGTGTAGCCGAGCGATGAATCTCATGAGCAGCAAGTAAAAGTCCCAAGAAGTAGTCTTGTACAGTTTATTATCACTTCACAACACTAACACTAAGTATACAGTTTATATTCACGAGTAAACAATCTATTTACAAGAATATTTTGTACAAAAACATAAACCGCTGTTAATTATTTCTCCTTACGTATCGCACTCCCCAAGCGCGCGACTACTGACTACCCTCCAGTAATTTATCGAAACAGTGTACACCCTAGGCAAAAGGTTTATTTATTTTATACAAGAACAAAAATTTATTTTGAATGAAGTTAATTTATATTATGATTGTTAACCATACTAATTGGATATAAATAGGTTTTTAACAATAACAAGAACTTAACAAATATTTTTAGGATAAAAATGAAAATGAAAATTTTAGTGTTTAGACACACTACAGCTACGATGAGTGTTGGTCGAAATAAAACCACAAGAAGTACATCATCACAAAATATAATATTTCATACTCTTTTAATTAATTTCATCACTTTCAAATCACAATGCGAACGATAAAATAACCAACATGAAATATTTTCCTATATGCATAACGTTACCTGTTCATTGTTCTACTTATATACTAAGAATTGGCACTTAGTGAGCACAATAAAATAATGTACATTATTATTTACACAATTTATAATAATTATATTACGATAGAATTAATTTTTAAAATAAATCTTTCTGCTATTGGAAAATATAAACACAAACAGCGCCAGATAATTACTAATACGTAAACAAATTGTCTATGCTCCATTGATTTGACGTAGCTAGATAAAGCTAAAATAGAATAGTTAATTATCTATGATCAGGCTTATGGATGAAATAGATGTTATCAGCATCTTCTCGTTCTTTTTTTAATGCTGCCTATGAATAAGAAAGCTTTTTCTTATTAGTTAATATTGATTAGGTCGTTTGATATACAATTAATATAAACCTCGTAAAAAATAAATTACTTGTAATTGTAAAATGATACATGTATTAAATAATCTGTTGCGAAAAAGATGAATATTTTTAGTTTAAGTTCTAAAACACTAGCGCCTCTGTTGAGAGAAATCGACACTAAGGTTTTCTTTTGATTCATGATGCCGAGTTTACTTGGTATATAAATATGTATTATACACAAATAATTTATGTATAATAATTTGGACGTGCTTAGGACGAAAACTGAATTGTGTACACTATACGGGGCTTGAATTAAAATCGAGAAAAGGTTCATTAGGATATTGAGACATAATATGTGACGAAATATAGCACGAAAATAATAGGTACGTCATATTAATAATGGTAAAATTTTGTTCTTTACATTTAAATATGAGATAATTTATTTCAGAATATACGTTAAATGATGTTATTTTACGTATAAGCCTGTACAACCATTTTTAATATAAAATGTGTATAAAATATTTTTTTATTTTTTACGTTTATTGATATATTATTGGGCAGATAATAGAGTAATAATTTTTCAAATTTGATAAATAGTAAAATGCATTGTAGTGTACAATAATAAGTCGTAAAGATAGGTATTGTACGAATTGTAGATGAAAATAACCTGAAGTAATAGACCTCCTGAAGTTATTACTACACAGGACAACAGCACTGCAAAGAGAAGGAAAACTTGAAACAAACCCTATACCAACCCGTCTGGCTAACGTGGTATAGTAGGCCATAACTTATTTTCTAAAGAGAGGCCTATGTCCAACAGTGGACTGTTAAAGGCTGCTGATGATGACGTTATTTTAAAAAATGTATGTTGCCAGACACACACATATAAAAGAAATTAATATAAGTACCGTCAATTTATACACATATACACACTTTACTGATAAGATATTTTGAACTGATTTTTCAGTATTATAACAGTGAATATAACATTATGTAAAAGTGTATAACTTCAATATAAAACTGAACTACACAACTATACCGTTCAAATATAATATACTATGTTTATATAAAAATTGTGTTGTTCAACAAAAGCATGCAAAATAATCTCCTTATTAGTAATTTACATTTATAACTAATCTCTTGACTGGGCATCATGTTCTTTTCTTATTTACTAAGTACGTAAATAGCCTTTAAGTGTACTGCCTACAGCTTAACCTGAACTGAATATGATAAATATCATCACAACCAAACATACGAGTATTGTATAACATGATCAAAGAAATATATTAACAAAAGATGAATGGTATTTATTTGGAGACCATCTATAAATTACATCACACGTTAAGAGGGGACCAGTGAAGGGTAATTGTTTGACTACAGATTTGAACGTCACTTCTTATAATTGAAATAATTTAATGTATTAAAAACTAAAAACTTCAAACATCTCAAACACGACCGTTTGATCCCAAACTAGGCAGAAATACTATAGTAAGCAGACTGCTAGATTGAATTTCATACATTTTATACATAAATCACATAAAGATACAGTACAAATCATAGAACTAATCCGACTATTATTTGTGTTGGATGAGAATCGAAACCACAACCTCTAGTTCAGTAGTTAGGATCACCATTCAAAAACAATAACAAATATTTTAAGCTAACCATTGACACAAAATGATTCCTTCTATTGTAAGATAATTTATTAATTCAATTTTTATATTTATCATTCATTAACAACTTTTTGTTTTTTTTTTTTAGATTCGTGACACAAATGTGACAAGCGAGTCTTTTAAATTCGTGTAACTTAATTTGTAGATGGCCCCTACAAGATTCCAAAAAATATAAACTTTCAAATGTTCAATGACATCAAAAATTTCAAAAATTTAATTTTCAAAACAAAGATAAATTTTCTTGTTATATTCTTAATTTCAATAAGGCACTTAAGTGATAATAAAAATCAAAACCATGCGGAAGGTAAGCATAAATTAAAAATAGCAGTAGATAGGAAATGTGGGGCAGTGTTTCATCAATCATCAGTCATCATCATGTCTAGATATAGAAGACTTGTTTATTTTATACACTATGGCCGCTTATGTATATACTATCTTTGCATAAACAATACATAACAATAGTTATGGTTTTATTAATATTTTTAATTTAACATTAAAAGAATTTAAACACACTATTTTATGTACGTAAGTATTACATTTAAATGATGAAACACTGTATTTCATAAATTTCGAAATGGCGTTCTACATTTATAATATCTAATAATAATTATTATAAAATAGTAAAATTAGAAAAATAAATACTATAATACACATGTAAACATAGTTTAAATTGTATTGTTATAGGAACAAGACTGTAGTTGGACGCACACGCAAGGAATTTGTCCGAAATACTACTATTTATATGATGTTATATTTAAAACCCAAAGTTAAAAAATAACATAAATATCACAAATAAGACGTTTTCAGTTTTTTTTTTTAATATTTAAAAGGTTTTGTATCAAATATCAGTTTACATTTTAAGCTTAATTATATAAATTTATTTTTCAATTACATGTTTATTTGGATTATAATATTCATAAAAAGAATAAATGCAGCATTTAAAACATGGAATTAATATTTAAAGATAGCATAAAAATTGATAAACTAAGATTTCACGCTGTATAAAAATTACAATCATTATAAAGTCGAAGCTAAGAATTTCTAAAGAATAAAAAAATACAAATTAATTTATGGTATATTTTACTTAATTACATCTTAATTCGTAATTTTTATACAACGTTATTTTATATAATTATTAGAACTAAACTAATATGGATAAAATAAAAATTATAAAGTGTGTTATAATTTCTATGATATCGTTAGGACCGCTCCACCCATTCTAACTAAGTATGTACACATATTAAACTTAACATGATATCATTTAGGACATCAACAAAAGAGCTTAACTAGAATTCGAACTCATTAAAATCATTTTTTAGTCCACATGCACCAAAAAATCCAGGTCACATTATAACCCTGTACTATCTAGCACCACTTTTCTCTCCTTCATCAGCCTCAACCTTTTCATCAGCCACTTTCTCTTTAACACTTTTGTCATTTTTATTTTTAGAGCTATTTACTTTATCTTCTTCAAGTTCCTCGTCGTTTTCAACATCTTCTTTGTCATCGGCTTCGGCTTTTTGTTTTGCTTTATCTGCCGCAGTCTTTTCAACTGAAGTTTTATTCGCTGCCACTTTTTCTGTTGAAACTTTTACAGTAATTGATTTTGCAGTTGACGTTTTATTAGCTGCCGCCTTTACAGTTGCCGCTTTCGGTAACGCTGCTTTTTCAGCTGCCGCTTTCTCAGCTGCCGCTTTCTCAGCTGCCGCTTTCTCAGATGCCGCTTTCTCAGATGCCGCTTTTTCAGCGGCTGCCTTCTCAGCTGCCGCTTTTTCAGCGGCTGCCTTCTCAGCTGCCGCTTTTTCAGCTGCTGCCTTCTCAGCTGCCGCTTTCTCAGCTGCTGCTTTTTCAGCTGCTGCCTTCTCAGCTGCTGCTTTTTTTTCTGCTTCAATTTTTTTCTGTTCTACTTCTTTATCCTGTAGAGCTTTTTGCGCTTCCTCTTCTGCCTTATCTTTATTATCTTCAGGCCATAATAAATCAGGATGATTCATCATATAATAAGCCATATGTTTGTCACTGCCATATGTGGAAGCTTTGGTACCTAGACACATCAAGAACTGGGCCCTTTCCAGATTTTTGTCACATGCAACAGAATGAAATATGTGCACAAGACTGCTGTCAGCAGTTCTAAACACTGTTAAATTTGAGTGAATTAATGTTTCAAACATTTGCACATCTTCCATACCCCAGCCTTTGATAGTAAGGTCAAATCCACCCACTCGTTCAAAATCGCATTTATAAATGGCAAGGATACCAAAACCATACTGTCTGAAGTATCCATAATCATTACCTATTTCTTTGGTGTACTTCAAATTAATTAATTCCTTTTCAGTTTTCGGTTCTTCCATGATTTCATCGATTACGTCTTCCGCAGTTTCTTCCTCAGGATCGTCACCCAATAGTTTGTTGTAATCATCACCTGTGACGACTTCAGGATTATACTGACTAAATACTATAGGAAAATATACTTGGTTATATTTTACCGTATGTATTCTTATTCTTCTGAGACTATCAAAATTAAACATCATATCTACATCTATAAAGAAAACGAGGTCATCACCAGAGCATAGTTTGAGCCCTTCTGTCAAAGCAGCACCTCTTGAGAAAGATTCTGTACCCATTGCAACAAGTTTGATATCTTTACCGTATTTATCTAAATAAAAGTTTATTAACGACTCAGTATTTTGATAATCTAAAGGATTATTTGGATCCAAATAATCCACGACTATCAAACTCACAGCCTCGTTCGTCATCAGCACTATTTCCTCGTAATTTTTCATAAACCTGCCAAAGGTCTCCTGCCTTCCCGAAAGTGGGAGAATAAAGTTAATTCTCCTATCATATACAGAGTATTCTTCAAAATCATCAGAACCCCACTTTAATACTTTAGGTAGATTCTGTAACTTCATCAGGCCACTTTCAAGAGCCTCTCTTACGCCAAATCGACCAAAATCTAAGAAACTATCTGGTTGCTGTGGTTTCGATTCATCGAAATCTTCATAATCGACTGGACTAGGATTGGTTTCAGTCTTATCTAAGATGTCTGGATCTTCAAATGGAGGTGGATCTCCCATTGGCAGTTCTCTAATTTCCATACCTGAAATTCAAAATATTATATATTCTTTAAGTATTCCGATCAGAATTGTGCTTCATGTCAGTCAGTTTGATATCAACAACTTTCGTGCACGCTAAATATTGCATATGTATTTGATGTGCACAAAAGTTGGTTGATATTAAAAATTTCTCATAATATTTCGTATTCAAAACCAAAACAGGTTTTTGAGCTAAAACCATATCAAAGTGACAGTAACAATGTACCCTGTAATGTACCCTGTCAAGAAAGATACGTTTTTAACAGTTCCCTTATACTTCGTTCCTTAAAGATCATCTTAAAGTCAGTACAATTCTTAAGGCCAAGACAGACAGATGGCGGAACAGGGCCTCCGCGTGACACTTAAGGTGATACCACGCTATTACTAATACTATAGTTTATAGTATAGGGACCAAACGAGTAGACGGTCACCTGAATTTAAGTGACTACCGCCGCCACTGGATGCCTACAACTGAAAATGTAAACTTATGCCCGGACTTTATTTATTTAGACTTTATTTAGACGGAATTAGGCAAGGACTCGCAACAACGAAAACTTGCTTAATGCCAGTTCTCTGTGACGCTGTGTTATCACTCTGGTCAAGCCGTATATAAGATGATACACAACGCTGAGCGTAATTTTAACAACCAAGGCCATATCAGTCCTGCCCGCTGTCTGTCTCAACCTTTAACAGTATCGTAGCAGTGCTAAACTTACCCGTAAATGATTGTTGAAGATATGCGTGCCGCCTCACCGCCGCCGTCATCTTCCGACCTCTATACCTCCTGTACTTCAGCAGCAGATCCAGTACATGATCAGCTCCGTGAAGTGGTTGCAGTCTAGTGTATCCATATAGAAGCTCGTTAAAATCTATCACACGGCCTCGTTGTCTTGATGGCGCATTTATTATCTCCATCACCTGGATATTACAGTAAATAAGGTATCAACGAAATGAGGGTGGCTAGAAACGGACATAACAAACACCCAGAATCAGAACAACAATTAGAGAATCACTCAAAGTGTTGTGCTATGCAGGGATCGAATTCACAAAACTAAGCGCAGTAAAAAGCGGCGCGGCGAGGTGACCGCTTAAATCTCTATGCAATCCCTGCATACGCTATGATTATTATATTATATATATTTTACTTTAGATATGTACTAGAAATCATCTGGCAGAGGTAGCATGGCGGCGGAGTGGTAGAACTCTCTCTCTCTCGCCGCACGTTGAAGACGAATTTTAGAACGAGATCCATGCATCTATGCTGCCTACTAGGAGCGCTCGCCGGAAAAGCGCTCAATTTTCTTTACGTTGTCACGGCTCTGCCATGCATTTGGGAGATTTATAATTATGCAGTGGTTGTAGGACAACTCTTATCGAAAAAATGCCATTTCTTTATTGTCGTATTATTGTTGTAACAGTTCTCTTAAATGATCAATTATGGTAGACCACCGCGTACCTTTTTCTAGTCAATAAATAGACTTACTAAACGTTGACTGTGTTGTTAGAAAATATTGAATATATTTACAAAGGAACATTTTGTTGGAAGGAGGATTTGTTTACAGATGGATGGATTGGACAATTTATGCAACAGCTAGCAGAGGTTAAATAGCTGTTGCAGGTAAATTTACCCGATGGTGCACCGTTGCGGGCAAGCGCTAGGAGGGGTCCGGATGTCTTAATAACAGAAGTTCCCGGATCCCTCCTATTACAGGCGCAGAGTGGCACGCCGTGTGGTTTCAGTCGGTCCGATTCCGACACACCACCGACACCCCGGTGGGGTGAGGCCCGAGAGGGTTTCCAAACGTGAAAAAAAAGGCAAGTCCAAACCCTTTTACCTCTGAATTTGGTCAGTTCATCATCATCAACAGTCTTTAATACTCTACTGCTAAACATAGCCCTCTCCTTAGAATGGAGGTGTTGGCCTACAATACCACGCTTGAGATACGGTTTGGTATAGGGTTTATATCAAGTTTTCCTTCTCTTTACAGTACTATTGTCCGTAGTTTACTCCTTTAGTTGGCTCTTACGACATCTAAGGTATGAATAGCGGTGGAGACACTCCATATTCTTAATAAATCACCAAACGGAAAATTCAGTCTATAATAGTTAATTATAGTCAGTTCATCAATCATCAATAGCCTTTACTAGTCCACTGCTGGACATAAGCCTCTCCTTGGGAAGAAGGTTTTGGCCGACTATACCACGCTGACCAGACGGGTTGGTATAGGGTTTGTATCAAGTTTTCCTACTCTCTGCAGTGTTGCGTAGTTTTTTCCCTGAGTCGGCTCTTACGACACCCACGGGATGAATAGGGGTGGTGACATTCTGTATTCTTAATCCGTCACCACACGGCACTTATAGTCAGTTAACTAATATTAATCACAAGTAGTACAAGTACTTCATAATGAATATTGAATCTTACCTCTCTGATGACGTCATCCAAAGCTTCCTTAAGCGGGCCCTCTATTCTCCTCTTAGGGTTGGCGTGGCTAGAGGAGTATAAGGACTTGCTGATGAAATCGAACGTCACTATGTCATCGACTGTGTTCGATTTGTATCTGTTCATGTCTATTGGAGCACCTGGAATGAGGTATCATAGGTTTAGTTTTGTGAAATTTCTGGGTTTATTCAGAGGCCCTCTCGCCAATTACGGAGATGGAAGTCAGAGACATCATGGTGATAAGAAAGACGATATTTCAGTATTTTGTCAGCGGACTTTTAATATTAAAGGGGTGGCTAATAATTTTTTTTACCCTACTGGGCTTAGAGTTTTGGTATCTAAATTACGGCAAGACCCTTTGTTACTTTATCAACAGAACATTTTATGTAAAAACATAACTATATCTCTTTGTGAATGTGAGGAATATATCCTGTGTTTAGTACAGTTATAGAAATATACTTAGAAAGTATATATAATCTAGAAAAGGAAAAAGAAAACATCGATTTTTATACCTAGAATCCCTTTTAAGAAGCCAAAGAGGCCCCTTTAAAATAAGTCCATTAAGTAAGTCTTTTACCTAATATAGAATTGTTCCCTAAATAGTCTGGCTCTCCAACTTTAGCGGGGAAGAGAGGCACGTCTCCGGGCAGTATGTAATCAGCCACATCTTCTGGTGGTACTTTCAGCGCGCCCATAGCTGAAGCGATATCTCTATGCAGATCTAAGGACCGCTCACGAAGTTCTTGGATTCGTAGGTTCTGAAACGAAATAGATTAATTTCAAGTTTAGTGCTAATAACTTAGATAGATAGAGTCCGTGTTATGACGGATTAAGAATACAGAGTGTCACCACCCCTATTCATCCCGTGGGTATCGTAAGAGGCGACTAAGGGAGCAAACCACGCAGGACAACAGCACTGCAGAGAGAAGGAAAATTTGACACACACCCTACTATACCACGCTGACCGTCTGGCCAGCGTGGTATAGTAGGCCAAAACCTCCTTTCTAAGGAGAGGCCTATGTTCAGCAGTGGACTATTAAAGGCTGTTGATGTGATGATGATGATGTGAACTTAGATAGCGGACAGCAGCAGTATCTTGAGATCGGAGCGGCCTGACTGCCACGAGGGATAACTTCGACTGTTCAAGTATCTATAAACGGCAGGATACCTGGTTCTTCATTTATCATCCAAGTAATAACCATACATAACCCAGCCGTACAAAAAAACCAGACAGAAATAATCAGACCAACTTCTTTTTACCACCCGCCCGTCACTGTATCCTATTTCACAGATTAACTTAACTAAAGATTATAGCTACCCATTAAAGGAATATAGTTCCTAGATCGAGCAATGAAACATCTTACCTTAATAGCTATTCTCGTATTCTAACTAGATTAACCTATAGTGTCTAACTGATGAAAAGAGATCATAGAAAACCGAACAAAATTTCCGACTTTCAATTTTTCTACCAACCGTTTAAGCACATCAATTAAGCGGTATCATATTGCACCTTTTTTTTTTGTTGTTTTTTTTTTTCCGTGCGGAAATCCCCTCGGATACCGACATGGCATGGATCGGATACCCCTCGGGTGGCATGTCGGACTCGAACCGACTAAAACCGCACGCCGTCTCGGGTACTAATAGCCGGGGAACCAGGTATACCCTAGAAAGAAGGTCCCTGGTACCCCGACATACCTCAGGTCATCTGCAGATGAGTAGACGACCCCCCCCCCCCCGTGTGGGAACCCCATGTTCCCTGGAAGCGAGCGCGCTTCGCAACCTGTCACCCCCAGCCCCACTGCGCTTATGGAGGACGGAGGTCGTTCTGCGACCTCCGGCGCCTGAGTCGCCTGCAGTACCTGGCCCGTTCCCGGGCCTGAGTATCATATTGCACCTAGTCTTTGATAACTTTAAGAATATCAGTAGTTATATTTGTATTTAGACAACAATAGTTTAGTTGTTTACCTATAATAATCGTGAACACGATAAGGAACTGATAAAAATGTCGTGCCAATGTTAACACGTTCAGTGCACTTGTATTATCTCCTTAACATCCTGTATCCTGCACCTTATTATAGAATATTAATACATGTATTATATACATATACACTCACGCTTCTATTCCCGAAGGTATAGGCAGAAGACACACACATAAAAGTTTAGTTGACGGCAATACGACTACTTGAGAGGGAAGATATATATAAGGGAATGATCATTTGCCAGCCTTTTCAAAATGTTCGTATGGTGTGCGTTGTCTAGCTGTACTTAGATTTATGGCCACCTGCGTGATGTGCAAGGGCAGGTGAGAAACCTCACTCACACAGTGAAAAGCAATGAAAAAATTGTTTAACAACGGTTTTCTGTGAAGCCGTGGTATTACTCCATTCGATTCTGCCCAATGAGCCGAAGCTGACTCTGAACTGACTCTCCCGTGGTAAATGGTTCTTAAAAATATAATAGTTTAAGCCGTAACTAACTGATAAGGTGAATTGGTGTAATACAAAATCGATAGGGCCAACGATCTCTTAAAATTCAGGGTGACGTACCCATATCCTGTATTTGAAGAACCCACTGGCACACTACAATATCAACGATTAATTTAAATTGACCAAATAACTAGAATAAGACTGGAATAATAAATAGGAAAACTATAAGTAAATTCAAAATTAAAGGCAGATAAGTTTTTTTTTTTGAAACTCCCGCTCTAGGAATACAATACTCAGGACAATAATTTTTGGATCACACAAAGTGTTGTCCCATGATCGAACCCACAACAGTTAACTTAGTAGGAAGTGGCGAAGTGACCGCTTACACCACTACGCCATCCGTGCAGTAATTGATGGCAATACGAGTAGAAGGTTATGGTGGATGATTTTGGAATTTAGGAAGTACCTACTCCAACTTGTTGCCGGGTACTTCGAACTCTATAACGATATATCTATTGCCTGCTATATAAATTTCAATTTCCAGTGACCGGCTACAATACGTTATAACTTCTTTATTGTTAATTTCATTGCTAGTTTATTGAAATTCAATTGTACACCTAAAACTGAAAAAGGAAATTGTACACTATATCACGTAATTAAAAGATAATCAACGCTTTATTGCTTATGAGTTCTCATAAACCATAAAAGCTTTGAGTATCTTTGAAAATAAATGAGTTCTGAATTCCTCGTGAAGATCAAAGAGGTTAAAAGCCTCAGGGACTGTTTATTGCTTACACATAGATCTGGTTTGTCTTTTAATGTAATTACAGGTATTTGTTAACTGTTACATCCTTTTAAGGATGTTCATCACGTAACAAGACGTATTAAATATTGCTATTTTTGAATGCCTCTCTTAAAATATCTGTTGGAAATAGATGATTAGCTAAGTCATAATTTATCTTCCTTTGCTTGCTTATTTAGATGCCATTAAGTCGCCAATACAAGTTTATTACAGGTAAAGTTTTTAGTCACTAATCAAAATTGATTCGATTCTTCTACTAACCGTTCCTCGTAGTTTCAACGGCGTTTATTGCAACTGCTGATATTTATGGTCTTGATATTTTATAGCCCATATTCTTCCTCTATATGTATTAGAAATATAAATATCTTATACAAAAAGAATAATTCAAATGTGATTTATAGTAAAATATACTTAGTAGGTTGTACATCACACTTCTCTGCACAAGAATTTCATATTGTCAGATGGGGAATTGGTAGTTACAACATGTCCTACAATGTGTACGCCTGCACGGATGGCGCAGTGGTTTAAGCGGTTGCCTTACTACTTGCTACTGTGCTGAGTGTTATGGGTTTAATCCCACACATGGGACAACACTTTGTATGATCCACAAATTCTTGTTCTGAGTTTGGGTGTTCTTTGTGTTTGTTTCATGTATGCATGTAAAGTCCTCAGCGTAACAAGATATATTTCTAGTGCGGGAGTTATCTTTTTAATAAGCAGAAAGGTACCACATGTGGTAGTCGCTGCATAACTCCCTTCCGAGACCAGAGGTAGGCCCTTCTCTCTCTTCTCTCTTACGTCGAAACTGTTTTAAAGGAATTAGTACCTACTCCAGTTTGTCAGTTCCGTAGAGACGGAACTGTAGTTCGCTATTCCTCATTGCAGTCATCGCAAAGGATCTCTTGCTACGGGCTGTCATACGCTCCATGGCCGGTAGTGACAGATGTTTTACCAAGGTCACAACCTTCAAACGTCATCTCACAGGAGTAGGCGGCGTAGAGGGCCCGGGAGGATGATCTCCACTCGGACTTTTCGTTCGTGTTCTCGGTTTCTATGCGTTATTATTCTAAGTATCCATTTTAAAATTAATGAGTTAAAGCTTCAGTTGGCAAAGGAGTAGTGCAAACTCAGGCCTAAAAAGCCGAAGGCCACAAAGTTGATGATATTAAAAAAAAAGATTATTTCCTATTTATTAACAAATATGTTGATAAATAATCAGCTCAGTATCAGTTTGCAAAAATATTTTGATTCAATAAGTTTTGATTTTGATCAACTAGATAGTTCGAAAGGCGATTTAAAGCGTAATGCATTTGATCCTAAGCGTAATTCATTTACTTATATCTCACAAATAACAGTAATAGATAATATAACTATTTACACGATAGAAATCCTCAAGGTCACACAAGAAGGCGTACTTGTCATAATTTATAACCGCTTGTATCTGATATTATAAAAATAAAAACATTTAACCTACACCTTTGATCCAGTATTATTTACAACTTCATAACAACTGGTTATTAAGATAGTATAAAAACTAACACGAATTAAATTCTCAGAGCCAACCGTTTATAATAGACGTTTTCACTTTCGCTCGATCTATACGAAATTATAATTATTATTATTGAGCCCTGGTAACCATAGGATCAGTACCTATCGATCTAAAACAAAATGCCGTATCAATGCTATCCGCAGGAATTTTATTAACCTAGGTACTTCCTTGCAAGTAGGAGGTTGTCTATTCGGCTCTATCCCTTGATTTTTACATCTCCGTCACTTGCGAACCGACTTGAAATAATCTTTTTTGATTTGAAAAGGTTGTCGTATAGTTCGATTTTAATTTGACAAAAGAAATCGTTTTAAGATCAGAATTAAGGAATGAAGAACACTACAATTATATACCATGTAGGCGCGTTAGTCCGTGTGGTGACGGATTAGTCCGTGTGGTGACGGATTAGTCCGTGTGGTGACGGATTAAGAATACAAATTGTCACCACCCCAATTCATCCCGTGGGTGTCGTAAGAGCCGACTAAGGGAGCAAACTAAGCAGGACAACAGCACTGCAAAGAGAAGTAAAACTTGAAACAAACCCTATACCAACCCGTCTGGCCAGCGTGGTATAGTAGGCCAAAAACCTCCTTTCTAAGGAGAGGCCTATGTCCAGCAGTGGACTAGTATAGGCTGTTGATGTAGGCGCGTTAAAGTCGGCTATACTTTTGTATGAGTTATTTATTTTAGGATTAACTTGAACAACAATCTGGCAAAATGAATATGTTGCGTGTCTATGCGTTATTATTCTAAGTATCCATTTTAAAATTAATGAGTTAAAGCTTCAGTTTGCAAAGGACTAGTGCAAAAAAAGCAAAGGCTTAAAGTAGTAGTGCAAAGGCGTAAAAAAGCCAAAGGCCACAAAGGAACTTTACGCTACTAACGTTAAAAAAACTAGTGCTCTTTATTCGTAATTTATTTAATTTTATATTGTCTTATCTTTGACGTAATCTTCTGTACGTGAAGGTGCTATTTTGGTCAACTCTTAACAGAATACATTCTTGAACATTTCAGTTATATTTGAAATTAATATGTGACTAGCTGGTACCCGCGACTACGTTGAATGAATTTGAAAAGTGCTGCCTTAGTGGGTTCGATTCCCTTACCGGGCAAAATGTCATACTTGCTTTTCTAAGAGGAAAAATAGCCTAAGCTACTCCTTATATAGACTGCTACTTGATACTAAAATATTATTAAAAATCGTTTAGAAGATTACCCGAACAAACAGACAGAGAGAAAAAAATATATTAAACTGGATTTTAGCCATAGGTATCGTGCAAATAACAGTGTGAGCATGAAAAAAAACCATTTTGACATTACACACTTTAATTTTATTTATTTGTATTCAGTTTTTTAAATATTTTGAATTAAATATTCACATTAATTAGATATATCAATACTAGATTAGATTTATTATCCTTTTAATACTAGTATCAATAATAGGAAGTTTATTTGTCTTTGATAACAAAATTGTGTATTTGATAGATTAATTCTTGATTGAGCTTATCGTCTACTTACTCCAACCGAATGTATGTATGTCGGTAGCCCATGTCCTTTCTCAATAATACAACTTTCTATATACCAAAGTTCATCTAAATGGGTTCAGCGGTTATTGGTTCCCCATACAAACTTCCGAGCCCCTTTTCACCTTATTATATGTCCTTTTCCAGGACACAACTATCATGTAAATCGTTTCAGCGCCTTAAGCGTGAAGAGGTTACAGACAGACAAACATACAGATAGACAGACAGATTAAACATCAAAACTGCTTCGGCACTAAAGGGGCCCGTTCGACTGGAGTGGTAACATGGCGTATCAGAAACACAGTGTCAAACAATTCTATCGTTGCTTATACCATAAGTGAGAGAAGTTACCGACAACTCAACCTTCTCGCCCTCATTCGGTATTCTGCTCGGATCTAGTTCTGCAGTGCTATTCTCTAACGAAACAGCCTTGCGTACAGCTAGCTTGAACTTTAAACTAACTTAGTTTGAAGTTCAACGCTGTGGCAGGGCTGTACGCAAGGTTGTTTCTTTAGAGAATAGCACTTCTGTTCGTTTTGCCCCTATTCTATTAAACAGTTACTGTGAATGCGTGTAAAAGTGCAGGTTATAACTCCTTAAACACAAAAATGGTCAGCCTACTTTCGAAAGATTTAAATGCCAACTTTAGTGGGTAAATGATATTCAAAACTCAAATTCATTACTCTTGACAAATTGAATGTTGACACAAGTCAACGCGCACACACTCGCTCGCCTGACCAAACAGAGCATGAAGATATAAATGATACAATGATAACACAACATTGTGCCACATTGCTGCAAATTTACGTAGACTGTACGTAATGGCACAAATCACGGCTTATTTGCGTTGCAACAGGTAATTTTATTGCAGTCTTTTGATCTCTACGACTGTTTATGGTGTGCCTGGTAGCCTGTTGTCCAATTGACTGCTAAGTTTGCCTCTGTTATGCGGTGAAAGATATACATACATGTATCGTTGGTTAGGAAGAATAGCTAAGCAATTAATTAATGTTATTTATTTTAGAGAACCTCTCAAAGAGTTTGTAATTTACTACATTGATAATACATACATCCGTATTATCTCTTAAATTATAATTAATAACAGTGCCAGTTTCTAAAGAACGTGCGCTCAAAATCGTATCAAATTTCTTTTTGGGTTGGCAATTTGTACTTAATTTATTTCGACTTATATCTATATATCTGGCGGAATGTAAGTGTAATACATTTCTGTACACCGCTTCCAATTTACAGGCGTGAATATACTCATATGAGAGAAGACCGATTCCGACTGTTTAAGTCGTGATTTTTCTTTATATGGAAAAAGATTTGATAACTACAACTACAGAGAGAATTCTATCATCAAATTACATCTTATCTTGCACTCATATACGAGTATATTAAATTAGTATTCACAGTATATGTGAAAGGTTAAATGACCGCTCTTGTACTTACAGAGCAGAGTAGTATTCTCCTTCCAATTGCGTTATTCTGTTTTGAGTAATCACTTTTTAACCTTGACTTAAAAACAAAGACCTAGGATGGAGACCTCTAGGAAATTTTATTCTATGCCTACAACAATGTATTGCAAAACAGATAGCTACTTATACAAAATACCAACAAAGAGAAGCATCTCGCTTATTTATAGTAAGTATTAAAAAAGCTTTTAAGCATTCAAATACATCCTCAGTAAATACTGCGAAAAGGATTGAAATAAAACAAACTATTCGGACCCAACAAGTGGTCAAACAATGTGTGGTGAGAATAAGGTTGTTAAGGAAAGCATTAGGAAAGCAGTATATCTGAGAATATTATGACTGTACATATAATAATATGTGTTATGTACATATAAGACATAAGGAGTTCATAAAGCATTTGGGGTGACTGCACCGCTCCTAAGATCGTTTTAGTGTGTGGAAGTTCCCACAAGTGATAACTCGTGGGGATTTCGAAGGTGATAACTTCAAAGGGGTCAAACGGTAAGGTGTCGGACACGAGGACCTCTCTAATTAAGATAGGCGTGCACAGGTAGTGCCGCCGCGTCGCCAAGTCGGGTCTGCTTCTGTTGGGGGAGTAGATAGAACTTTGGTTGCCCTCAGGCAAGGTAGAACTTTGGTTGCCCTCGGTCTTTCTCAAAAATTTGATTAAATAGCAGTTTTTAACTGGTACAAATCTACTTTTTCAGATTTTTTACTAGTCGTTCTGCGGAGTCCACCCTACCGATGATTAGAGCGTGATGATAATTACCTTTATTCTTCTTAAACTAGAATTAGTATAGAATATAATGAGTGACGGCGAAATAATTTATCTTAAACGGTGTAAGGTCAAAGGCAGTCTTCAAATATAAAAAAACCTTTACGGATTTTCGTTTGTAAAAGCTTTGAAATTCTAAGGACTGAATGAACCCTTTAATGATGCAAAAATAAATAAAAGAATTCGGCGAAATAACTCTTTATCGGTTAAGACGAGGTCGAAGACAGATATTTTTTTGAAAGCGTTTCGCAGAACATAACTCATATTTTAATTATATTTTTCGATAGTCGACTTAAAAACTATTTTTTTACTTTTGAAGACAATTCATAAGGGGTATAGAAATGGACTTGGTTATTTCTTATTCTTAAAAAAAGGAAAAACTGTTCTCGAGGGAATCGGCATTGATTTACAAAATACTTTTAAAAAAACCAGCTTATTACATCCTAGCTTTTACATGTGGCCTTGCTCGTGTAAACGTGGATTTTGTTAATCGCCTTTTTCTTAATTTATGTGCTATTTCAAACTATAGTATATTTCTCTAAACTTCATCCAGATCCGCTTAGCCTTTCTGGCGTATTTGAGTATCAAATAACCCTTCTTCTATCTTCACAAACTTTTGAGTTTTTAATGTTAATAGGACTATTACGGTTTGTTACCTTAAAATATGAATGTATCCTGTACATCTGGCGATGGTCCTTGACGGGATGGAGAGTGATGGCCCTATGCACTTCCCTGTTCTTTAGCGTCTTCGTGTAGGCATTCACACCACTGCCGTTGTGGTGCAATATTGTTTGCATCTGGAAGATAAATTTTAATTTATTAATTTGGTATACACTAAGACTTATTTATCTTTATAATTATAAATTTTGATTACTTATTTATTAATAAACCTGTCAGTCTAGTGGTTAGCGATTCCGACTGCCAAGCCTGAGGTAGCGGGTTCAATGTCCACTCAGGACAAATATTATGTGATGAGCACGAACATTTTTTTTTTTTTAAAAGACAACGCCCTACAATTAGGAATATATCATGTGTCGCGGGGGACTTTACAAACATACAGGAAACGGACACAAAGAACACCCAGACTCAGAACAGTTGTTGTTCTGAGTCTGGGTGTACTGTGTGTCCGTTTCATGTATGTTTGTAAAGTCCCCCGCGACACAGGATTTATTCCTAGTGCGGGAGTTGTCTTTTTTAAAAAAGAAAAAAGAAAAGAAAGAACAACAATTTGTGGATCACACAAAGTGTCGTCCCATGTGGGGTTTGAACCCATAATACTCGGCGTAGTAGGAAGCAGCGTGGCGACCGCTTAAACCACTACGCTATCCGTGCAGTCAATGTTTTATATGTAGTTGTAATTTATGCATTACATGTATGTGTTAATAAATATGTGATTATGTTTATTTAGAAATAGGAGTATATGTGCCCTCCATTGAAAGTAAGTGGGATTAAACGTGTTTATCACCTAATCATCACATGTCCACTGCTGGACAACGCCTCTCCTATTATACTACGCTGGCCAAACGGGTTGGTATAGAGTTTGTGTCAGGTTTTCCTTCTCTTTGAAGTGCTGTTGTCCTCCCTTTGTCGGCTCTTATGACACCCACGGAATAAATAGGGGTGGTGACACTCCGTATTCTTAATCCGTCACCACATGGAATAACATCTAAGCATGCCTCCTAATTTAGAATCGTACTCACGACCTATGACTAGCAGTCATGATAACAAACCACAAGACCGCGAACAGAATAATCTCAGTATTATCAATGTTTTTAATAAGTTTATTGAACTGAAGCTATTCAATCGCATATCAGGTTTCAGGTTTAAGATCGTTTATTTCTCACAAAGAATAACATAAACTATTCACTTATATGAGAAAATCAAATAACAGTTTCATCGATTTAGCTGTGATACAGAAGAAAGCAATTCATACAAAATATCAACAAATGATTTCCTACACAAATATAGTGATACAGAAAAAAGCAATTCAAATAAAATAATTTCTTACACAAATATATTGAGGGTAACTTAAAAATATTATACATTCCAAACATTTGTTCATCCACGCTTGCAGTAAATACAGCGATCGAGCGTGCCTAGAAGTGACAAAACTTTTTGTACACACTACAATTTACTTTTACATATTTTGCACTATGAGAACTATTTTCTGCTAGTAATGGTAGTAAATTGTAGTAAAAATTTTTATAATACAATGAACTTAGTACATATTTCGTTGATTACTAATTGAATTATTATCTGTATATCTTATTTGTTAGCGTTGTATATATATGTGATTGCGTTGATTAATTTAGATTAAATTAAATATTTTTATTATTAGTATTAGTGCATGTAGCATCATTATTAGTTTAACTATTTATTAAAACGAACACAATACATTCACACAAATATATAAACCCACAAATTTATGCAATAAAATATATAAATTAATGCAGTAGATAAACATTATAATTTATAAAATTGTTTTTTTTTTTTTTTTTTTGCTTATATTATTTATCAATGATGTGATACTTTAATAATTTTTTGAAAGTGTGTATATTTTTCGCAGCTTTTACCACATTAGGCAGCTGATTATAGATTTTAGCACCTTCATACATAATACAACTCTTTCCATAATTTGTTCGCGATTTTAACAGAAATATATCATTCCTACTCCTAAGACCGATTCTATGCACATCCTTTTTTTTATTAAATTTTATTTGCGTATGTATATTATTAGTTAGTATTTTTCTAATGAGTATACAATTTTTATATTTGTATGTCTGTAGAACAGTCATGATTTTGGTTTCCTTGTAGATTTTTTGATTTGACGTGAGAAAATCGAAATGAAATAATTTCTTTATTAGTTTATTTTGTGCTGTTTGCACGGTGTCTAGATTGCTTTTAGCAGCTGCACCCCATACTTCTATTAAGTAGTCTATATGCGGTTTTATAAGTGAATTATATATAGTGTGCCTTAATTGACGCGGTATGCAACGTACGATGCCACGTAACATTCCTGACAAACAGACAAGTTTATTTCTTAGTTTTTGTATGTGCGGTTTCCATGTAAGATTTTTATCCAAAATGAGGCCCAGATACTTTTCTTGATTTACTTGATTAATTTTTACATTATTAATAGTTAGAAATGGCAAATTTGGGATTTTTTTGTTTTTAGCCGAGAAAATAATGTAATTAGTTTTAGAGATATTAATAGTTAATAAGTTACTGAGAAACCACTCATTCAACCGTTCAAGGTCACTTTGTGCATCTGCAATCACAGTGTCAATTTGGTGGCCAAAATAAAATAGCGATGTATCATCTGCGTATAAATTCAAGTCACCTTTTAGTCCTAGTTGATGTATATTATTAATATATATAAGAAACAGCAATGGGCCCATTATTGACCCTTGCGGTATTCCGTATGTAATATTTTTAGGTTCACTCACACTCTGCCCGACCTTAACAACCTGTCTACGATTGGTTAGATACGATTTTATCATATTGTGTGCATCCCCGCCAATACCGATATCATTGAGCTTTTTCAGAAGGATTTCGTGGCTAATTGTGTCAAATGCCTTCTTCAGGTCAATAAAAATACCTAGTGCTATTTGTTTGTTGTCAATATTGGTCTTTATTTTTGTTATTAGATCTATAGTTGCCGATAGCGTATTAGACTTCGCTCGAAAGCCATACTGCTTTGTATAGAGGAAATTTTGTTGGCTTAGGAAATTTTCCATACGGCTATGTAAAACTCTTTCAAAAACCTTTGACACAACTGGAAGAACCGATATTGGACGGTAGTTACCAGGGTCGCTTTTACTGCCAGATTTATAAATCGGTGTTACTTTAGCAATCTTAAGGCTTTCAGGAAATATTCCCTGGTCAAGACATGTGTTGATACAGTCGGTAAGTTCTTCGAGTATCAAAGGGGACACACATTTGAGCGATTTGGTATTCATACCATCTAAGCCCGTGCTGGTATTATTATCTAGACCCCGGATTATTCCAGCAATTTCAGTTGGGTTGGTATGAGAAAATTGTGTAAATGTTAGATTATTGTCACAATCTACTCCCAATGAATTAGTGTATATTGTCTGATTATGGTATCGTTTTGGAATTTTATTTGCCAGGTTTGAACCAATATTTGAAAAATATTCATTAAAATGATTGCTAATCTCTTTTTCGCTGATAATATATCCCCCTGCCGTTAAAAGCTTCGGTGGCATATAATATAATAATACACATAGGTATTAAGCCAATCACAGTGTAATAAATATCGAAAGCTTTTTAACCTCCAATGAAATAATCTTTTACTAAATTTAAACAGCAGGCAAAGGCCTTGAGCTGTACGGCCCACGGTGATCCGTTATTCGGTATGTTAACTATCCGGCTCAAGTATTTCATTAAAGAATTCGGTTTATTATCTATAGAATGCTTTAGGACAGAATCTTATTTTAAAGTCTATGATGTTATAATAAAATAGAATTGAATGAAGCGTTATATCATTTAGATATTTTACCCGCCCAACTTAGTCTGCGTCTCCGCGTTTGTCATTGATGCTCGTCTCCTATTGTCCGTAGCGTGAAGTTATATAACCTTAAGCCTTCACCGATTGATGAGCTATGCAAAACTAAGAGAATATTTCAATTCGAACCAGCAGTTAGTGAGATAATTGCGCTCAACCAAACAAACTTTTCAGCTTTATATTATTGGTATAGAAGATCCGTGTGGTGACGGATTAAGAATACAGAGTGTCACCACCCCTATTCATCCCGTGGGTGTCGTAAGAAGCGACTAAGGGAGCGAAATGCGCAGGACAACAGCACTGCAGAGAGAAGGAAAACTTGACACAAACCCTATACCAACCCGTCTGGCCAGCGTGGTATAGTAGGCCAAAACCTCCTTTCTAAGGAGAGGCCTATGTCCAGCAGTGGACTGTTAAAGGCTGTTGATGATGATGATGATAGAAGATCTTCTTCGAATCGTTTTTAATGATATTTCGAGTGGGAGAAAAACATGTGTCGAAGTATTTTTGACAAAAATATTAAAATTAAAGACATTTTTTCTTTTTAAAAGGTTAGATTAACGACTGGCAGAGACATTGGGATCTTTATGAGTACTTTGGGTACTCATATATATATTTATATATATTCTAAAAATATTATGTTTTTTTTTTATTTTGCCAATCGGCGGACTTAATGCCCAAGGCATTGCTCTCCCAGTCAACCTTTAGGTAGTATAGACTTATATGGTAGGCGCATATAGGTTATAACACTAATCACTAAGATATACACTACACAACACAACACACGTAACTTTATACACAAGCAAATACACATACACACATATTTGTCACTAGCTGACCTGCGCAACTTCGTCTGCGTCTCTCAATAGTAATAAATTTTCTCCTTTTTTGAAACATTCTTCATTGGTGCTCCGCTCCTGTTGGTCTTAGCGTGATGATATATAGCCTATAGCCTTCCTCGATAAATGGGCTATCTAACACTGAAAGAATTTTTCAAATCGGACCAGTAGTTCCTGAGATTAGCGCGTTCAAACAAACAAACAAACTCTTCAGCTTTATAATATTAGTATAGATAAAGTCTCATTTTTAGTTTCTGCGCATCTGCCATGTCCTAGCTCTGCATCACCCCAAGGTCGGCTGGTAGAAAATGTCTAAGACATTAAGTCCACCTTTATCATGTTGTGCGCACGTAATGTCATTGCGCAAAAAGATTATTTTTAGTTGTTGTCCTCAAAATATTTGAAAAGCTAATTGAGTGGGGACTCCTAAAGC